ACTGAGGAAGCAGCTGGATTACCTGTTCGAGAAGGAGTTCAGTCGCCCTAGTTCGTCGCCCTTCGCAGCACCGATACTGTTCACGCCGAAAAAAGACGGGGGATTTCGCATGTGCATAGATGACAGAGCACGAACAGGGTTACCATAAATCCCATTACCCCATCCCGCGAGCCGACGAACTGATCGACCAACTGCGCACAGCCCGGGTTTTCTCGAAAATTGACCTTCGGGGAGGTTACCACCAGATTCGCGTCAACCCACCCGACTGCTCTAAGACAGCCTTCCGAACACGCTACGGATCCTTCGAATACACCGTCATGCCCTTCGGACTGACCAACGCCCCGACCACTTTCCAAATGACCATGAACGAAGCCTTCTACCCGTTTTTAGATAAGTTCGTCATCGTATACCTGAACGACCTACTGATTTACAGCCCCGGCAGAGCACATCACTTACAGGACATCGAAGCAGTTTTTAAGATATTGAATGAGAACCGCCTACTGACAAAAGCATCTAAGTGTGAGTTTTTACAGGACCGACTGGATTTTTTGGGACACATCATTTCAGCTGCAGGAGTGGAAATAGACCCGAAAAAAATTGCGACGATTCAAGCATGGCACACGCCGACCAACTTGACCGAGTTACAGAGTTTTTTGGGGTTCGTCAACTATGTGCGCCGGTTCGTCCCCGACATGGCGAAGCTGACTGCCCCGTTGACCGGCCTACTAAGAAAGGGGGTTGAGTACACGTGGGGGGAGAAAGAGCAAGCTGCCTTCTCGGCCCTAAAAAAAAAATTGTGCTCACCGCCCGTACTTCACATTGCATATCCGCACCATCCGTTCGAGCTCGTCACCGACGCTAGCGACATCGGTGTGGGAGCAGTAGTGTTGCAGGACTTCAGGAACGGCCTTCAGCCAATCGCGTACAAGTCCCGCAAGCTGCACCCGCCTGAACGCAACTATCCGATACACGAGCGCGAAATGCTGGCAATCGTGCACGCGTTCAAGGTGTGGCGATGTTACATCACGGGAGCAGACCTGACAGTACGGACAGACCACCGATCCCTACAGTACCTTCGTGCATAACCGAATCTCAACCCACGACAGATCCGCTAGTTGGACTTGTCAGAATATGTTGTTTGTGTAGCTTGCAGTGGGATTCTCAATAGTGAGAACAACCTCTTAGGGTTTGCTATTTGTATCCTGCTGCTTGCTAGTCCAATTATTCCTTCCTCATTTCTGTTCGTGCACACAACTCTCGCTCGTACTTGGTGCCTCGCTCTAGTCTTCCTGTGGCCTAGGCTATTAAGCCTAGGCCCGACTACTTAGTATATTTGACATGGTATCAGAGGGCGGCATGTCTGCCGCCTTCCTGTGTATGGGCCCACCACCTGCTTCCACTGTCGTACTGTCCGCCGCGCGCCCCGTGGTGCGCGGCGCCGGAATCAGGGTTTCTGCCCGCCGCGCGCTCGGGGCGCGTGACGGTTTACCCTTCCGTGGCGCCCGACGTGGCGCCCTTGGGGGGCATGCGCGGTCCCCTCCCGTCACCCGTCGAGGCGCTCTCGGGGGCCCGCGCGGCCTCCCTTCCCGTGGCCCGTCGTGGCGACCACGGGGGCCCGCGCGCGGTCCCCTTCCGTCGCCCGTCGAGGCGCTCTCGAGGACCCACACGGCCTCCCCTCCAGTCGCCCGTCGTGGCGACCACGGGGGCCCGCGCGCGGTCCCTTCCCGTCGCCCGTCGAGGCGCTCTCGGGGGCCTGCGCGGCTTCCCCTCCCGTCGCCCGTCGTGGCGACCGCGGGGGCCCGCGCGTGGTCCCCTCCCGTCGCCCGTCGAGGCGCTCTCGGGGGCCCGCGCGGCTCCCTTTCTTGTCGCCCGTCGGGGCGCCCTGGGGGCTGCGCTTCTCCCCCCCCCCCCCCCCCCCCCCCCCCTCCCTCCTACCTTTCACCTGCATCGGCCACCCATGGAGCAGCCCGCACCTGCAGCAGCCGCCCCTGGAGCAGCTCGTGCCTGCATCAGCCGCCCCAGGATCCGCGCGAGCCACCCCAGCAGCAGCCCGCGGCCCGTCCCTGCAGCCTGTCCCGTCCCTCCCCATGCTGCCCATTGCTCCCATTCCGCCGTGCGTTCCGCGGTGGTGGGGGTGTGGGGTGGCGAGCATGGGGGTGCGAGGTGTGGGTGCTCCCCTTCCCTTTCCCCTCCTCCTTTTTCGTCTCCCACTGCTGCAGCTGCTGCTGTGGGGGGTGGAGGTGTGGGAGCCGAGGGGAGTGTGTCAGAGGTCCACTGGTGATCCCCGATTGATCCTAGGGAAGGGTTACAGGCTCTTTGTCCTGGGGGGTTATGGGCGCACTGACCCGCTACTTAACAAGCCATTAAATTCCAATGGTCTAGTAGTTGGGATTCTGACAGAGTGGCCCTGGGGGGGTGACGTGGCAGTGGAGCTAGGGGTTCAGCAGGGGGTGTGTGATACGGGCGTGGGGCAGTTGGCGGAGGTAGAGCGGAGGTCGCAGTCGTGTCGCCAGCAGCACTAGTAGTTCGGAGGCTACAATCTCCGTTAGTCGCCAGTCGCCTGTGGGTCAGTTGCTCCAATCAGGAGGCTACAATCTCCGCGGAGCCAGTTACTCCTGTAGTCCGGGCCATTGCTTCGGTAGCCACTGTGCCAGCAGCTCTTGTATGTCTGCAGCTTCCGCCGTCGCCTCCCATCTCCTCTCCTCTCACAGTCCCTCCTCCTCACATGTCCTCTGTGACTACCCCTAGCTTTACTTGGGCTTGTGAAATATTTTATGACTTCATGTTGTACTGATTATACCTCACTTTGCCTATGGGGGTGTGTCAGATTATGTTGTTTGTGTAGCCTGTAGTGGGGTACTCAATAGTGAGTACAACCCCTTAGGGTTTGCTATTTGTATCCTGCTGCTTGCTAGTCCAATCATTCCTTCCTCATTTCTGTTCGTACACACAACTCTCGCTCGTACTTGGTGCCTCGCTCTAGTCTTCCTGTGGCCTAGGCTACTAAGCCTAGGCCCGACTACTTCGTATATTTGACAGGACTATCTGGAGTCCAACTTCCACTACACGGTCATGTACAAAAAAGGCGCATCCAACATCGCCGACGCACTCACACGCCCCACCGCCCAACTCCACGCTATCCTACTCTCCCAAACCAACCCATTGTTAACAGGCCTATTCACCCACGGATACCGTACCGACCCATTTTTCACACGACCGGAAATTCACAGCAACTAGCAGAGGCCAGAGGAGTCTATTACGTAAAAGGAGGCACCAACCGCATCTAGGTACCCGCGTACTCACTACTAAGGGAACTGCTACTGCAGGAGGCACACGATGGGATTACCTCGGGACATTTCGGGGTAGAAAAAACGCGACAGCAACTACAGCGGTATTACTACTGGCCGGAGCTGTTGACCAACGTACAACACCACGTGGGCTCGTGTCCTACGTGTCAGATGATGGAAGAGCTCGCGAAAAAGAAAGGCGGGTCAATTGCAGCCGATTCCACCGCCTGAGCGCGCCTGGCAGCAGGTTACCATGGATTTCGTCACGGGGTTACCTTCGAACCCTTGGGGTAACGACGCAGTTATGGTCGTCGTTGACAGGTTGACGAAGATGGCACACTTCGCTGCGTGCAAGAAATCGATCTCAGCCAAAGAAACCGCTCGCCTGTTCATCGCAGCCGTCGTTCGACTGCACGGGATACCAGCCGCGATAATCAGCGACTGCGACACGAAGCTCACCAGCAACTTCTGGAAGAACCTCTGGGAGCAGTTCGGGACAAGGCTACAGTTCAGCTCGTCGTACCACCCCGAGACCGACGGTCAAACGGAGCGGACGAATCAGACGATGGAGCAGTTGATTCGTGCCACATGCGACGACCCGACCACTTGGGAGCAGCAGCTGCCGCTGATCGAGTTTGCGTATAACAACGCCACGTCAGCGACGACGCGGCAGTCCCCTTTCTACCTGAACTACGGGCAAAACCCTACAGTGCCCATGACACCGAGTCCGGACAACCCAACACCACGTGCACAGCAATTCGCTGAAATTCTGCAAGCTGCCCGCACCAGAGCCGCAGAAGCAATTAAAAAAGCCAGTGTCATCGCTAAGCGCAACGCTGACCGCCACCGCCGCCAAGTCACGTACCAGTCAGGAGATTATGTACTGCTCGACACACAAAACTTAAGACTACCAGTCGTACCGAAATTGCGACCCCGCTACTGTGGACCATTCCAAATCAGCCACATGATTACCCCGGTGACAGCTCACCTCCTGTTGCCGACGGACTGGTACATCAGCCCTTCGTTCCACGTCAGCATGCTTCGCCCATACATCCCAACCACAAGCCAACTGCCTCGTCACCGCCCGCCATCCATGACTCGCCCTGCATCGGAGCCGGTCATCGAGCCCGAAAAAATCCTGAGCCATCGGATTCGACACCCCACGGGAATCAGGAGGATTTAATTCCTCGTTCGCTGGAAGGATCGCACGCCAACTGAGGATAGCTGGGTGCCCCTGGCCAACATCGAAAACCACCCTGCCCTGCAAGTGTACCTGAGGAGCCGTGGATTCCGCGATATACACGCACTCGCGTAGCGGAGGGGGCTTCTTAAGGGGGGGGGTAGTGAAAGGAATTTTCTCGATATTCCTTAGCGCGCCCTGCACCCATTGTGTACAGCAACAACCGTTTTTTGCCCGTTAATGCTAACGGGGCTTCGCCGACTTCGCATGCACTGTTTTCCCAAACCTCGCACTACTGGACCGGCCGTGTCGGCCTACACTTCGGGACTAGCCCGAGCCTCGCTTCCAACGTATACTACCGTAGCTAGCTCGCACGCACCGCGTTACCGTTTGCATGTTTCGCGTATAAATGTTCGCTCATGCCTTCGCTCACATTTTGTACTCGTTTGACACCTTAGTGCAATTCTCGTTACTTCGATTCATTGAACCCGTAACAGTGTTCCACAAGCCCTGCCCCTCAGCCAGCTTTGTGCTCAGGTAGTAAGCAAACTATTCAACCTGGCCACCTCTGCTTTTATCTGTTCATGATAATCTGCATAAAACGCATCATATTCTCCATAATCTACAGCTGCGTTCAGCCTCTCAAGGTAACTCGGGCGATACGTTACGCGGTGGTAACCAGTCCTGGAAATCCGATCAAAGTCACCAGCATCACCAGAGGATCCCTTGCGGAGGTTCAGGCGAGCAACCTGGTGGTGCGAAATTGAGGGAGAGTGTGATGGAGGGGAAGGGAGAGTGTGATGGAGGGGAATGGAGAGTGTGATGAGGGGAAGGGAGAGTGTGATGAGGGGAAGGGAGAGTGTGATGGAAGGAAAGGGAAAGCGTGATGGAGGACAGCAGGAGAGTAATGCTGAGATGACTCTAACATGACTACAACAGAAAGGGCTGAAACCTCACCTGGTAACCAGACAGCCACACTCTTGTCGCCAGCTGTCAGTCCGAAAAGATCGCCGCTTCACCCTCCTGATCATCAGCCTCATCCTGCCCACCCAGGCACCTTACCACGCTGCGCCTCCACGTGTTTTGCATGGGAAAGCAAAAACCTCACATGTTACCTTGATGATTCGAATGGGTCGAAACCTCACCTGGTAACCAGACAGCCACATCCTTGTTGCCAGCTGCCAGTCCGACACAATCGCCGCCTCGCCCTCCCGGTCGTCAGCCTCATCCAGCCCACCCAATCGCCTCAGCACGTTTCTCCGCACCACCAGAGGCATCCCCGTGACCAGCCCAGTGAAATGCATCCCCAATCCAGTCTCTGGGTCTCTCCTCTTCAACCCTTTCACCCTCCTCCCCCCTCTCACATTCCTCCCCTCCCTCTCCCCCTCCTCCCCCGCCCCCTCCACCTCATCCTCCTCTCGAGCCAAGTCTGTCCAGAACCTGACGATTTTGCCGGTTGTAGGGGCGGTGAGATTTGTCATGTTATCCATCCGATAGCCGACCATTCCAAGCCTGGGCCATGCGAAAAACGCAGAGAGCAAATCCTGCAGCCAATCACAGCTCTCGGGCGGCAAATAGTCGTCCTGTAGCAGCACTAGCAGGTCGCCTCGTGCCATCCATGCCAGATCATTATACCCCCGGGAATCGTCCACTGAATGGGGTAGTACCGGCACGACAAAAATCCCCGGATCGGTTTTGGTCCACATTTCCATCCACTGCCCGAGGGTTTTCTCTGGCTCGAAAACATTTACTAGCAATTCTGCCCGAGCACCCGGTATTTTTCCAGTGCCCAGCATCCCATTTGTACACTCATATAAACGCTCCACCAACGGTTTTACCCGCTCCGGAGCCCCGTAATACCGAAGCAAGAAGGTGAAATGCGCCCGAACCTTCGGGTACTGGTCCGGAAACAGGTCCGGATCCTTTTGCCAGACGTAAGGTGGAGCTTCCAGGCCCGGCCGATCCTCGTACCCAGGATCGAGCCTCTCCCAGTCCATGCACTGAGGCTCGGCACCAGCTGCGGCGGCTACAGTGTGAAACCGAGCCAGAAACTCGTCCTGCTGTGTCGTCCAGTTGCTATGTGGTAACCGCATGCCACAATCCCCTAAAAGCCTATCTTGAATTCGTCGGAGAGTGGACGATGCTGACGTGGCACGTGCCAGGCTGGCGTCCCGATCAGATTGCGCGTCAGCGACAAATGCTGATGCGGACGAATGGTCGGGTCCCTCTCGGTCGAACGAGAAGGAGTAGATCTGATACCACATGACGAAGGCTTCAAGCCGTGTCTTGTTGGCTGGAAGAAGGAGCGGGCAGGCAACAACAACACAACACGCAAAAAAACAAAGGAGAAGAGAGGGAGCCGGTTCTTGAGAATTCTCAAAACCAGCAAGAGTTCGCATTTGTGTGCATGTTGACTTTTAAGTCGACTCAAAAATCATTTGTGTACATGTTGAGGAAGGAATGAAAGTAGTGTTTTGAGTCGACTCAAAACACGGTTCGCATTTGTGTACATGTTGAGGAAGGAGTGATACTAATACTGATGCGCACGAATGGTCGGGCCCCTCTCGGTCGAACCAGAAGGAGTGGAGCTCGTAACACAGTAGAACGGCTTCGAGCCGCTGCTTGTTAGCTGTGGGGAGGAGTGGGAGAGGGGTACGGGAGAGGGGTCCCTCTCGGTCGAACCAGGAGGAGTAAAGCTGGTATCACACTAGAACGGCTTCGAGCCGTTTCTTGTTGGCTGTGAGGAGTGGGAGAGGGGTAGGGGCGGGGAGGAGGAGGAGTGGGAGAGGGGTAGGGGCGGGGAGGAGGAGGAGTGGGAGAGGGGTAGGGGCGGGGAGGAGGAGGAGTGGGAGAGGGGTAGGGGCGGGGAGGAGGAGGAGTGGGAGAGGGGTAGGGGCGGGGAGGAGGAGTGGGCGAGGGGTAGGGGCGGGGAGGAGGAGGAGTGGGAGAGGGGTAGGGGCGGGGAGGAGGAGGAGTGGGAGAGGGGTAGGGGCGGGGAGGAGGAGGAGTGGGAGAGGGGTAGGGGCGGGGAGGAGGAGGAGTGGGAGAGGGGTAGGGGCGGGGAGGAGGAGGAGTGGGAGAGGGGTAGGGGCGGGGAGGAGGAGGAGTGGGAGAGGGGTAGGGGCGGGGAGGAGGAGGAGTGGGAGAGGGGTAGGGGCGGGGAGGAGGAGTGGGCGAGGGGTAGGGGCGGGGAGGAGGAGGAGTGGGAGAGGGGTAGGGGCGGGGAGGAGGAGGAGTGGGAGAGGGGTAGGGGCGGGGAGGAGGAGGAGTGGGAGAGGGGTAGGGGCGGGGGAAGGGGATGGGGGATTGATACAAATACTAGTGTCACACGCGAAAGGCTTCAAGGCTCTTCTTATTGATCCCCAGGTCCATCCCCAGGTCCATCCCCAGGTCCATCCCCAGGTCCGTCCCCAGGTCCGTCCCCAGGTCCATCCCCAGGTAGGTCCATCCCCAGGTAGGTCCATCCCCAGGTAGGTCCATCCCCAGGTAGGTCCATCCCCAGGTAGGTCCCTCAGCTCCCTCAGTCGCCGGTTTTTGAGATTTCTCAAAAACCACCCCTCCAGCTCCCTCAGTCGCCGGTTTTTAAGAATTCTCAAAAACCACCCCTCCGCCTCCCTCAGTCGCCGGTTTTTAAGAATTCTCAAAAACCACCCCTCCAGCTCCCTCAGTCGCCCCAGTATGAACTGCCCCACTGCCTCTGGGTTGTTCCTCCTCGGTTGTCTCTGGGTTGTTACCGGTTGTACCCCACTCAACCCCAGATCCCACTCAACCCCAGATCCCACTCAACCCCAGATCCCACTCACGGTTTTTAGCGTCCATGGCCGCAGCGGTGGCGTTGGCCTGGGCAGCACTGATCCTCAGATCTTTCAGCAGCGGGCGGTACCCGTCCAATTCCTTGAGCCGCCCCAGCATGAACTGCCTCACTGCCACTTCTCTGTCCCATTGCTGGTAGATCTGCAGGGCTGGTGGGGGGGAGGGACGGGGGGGGAAGCAGCCAGTGGCCTGAGCAGCACTGAACCAGCAGGAGCAGCAGGTATCCTCCCAGCACAGCCCCTCCGCAGCGGCCGGTACCGGTCCAATTCCTTGAGTCGCCCTAGCACGAACTGTCTCACTGCCACCTCCCTGTCCCATTGCTGGTAGATCTGCAGGGCTGGTGAAGGAGGATTGGGGAGGTGGGAGAGGGGGAGGATTGGGGAGGTGGGAGAGGGGGAGGATTGGGGAGGTGGGGTGCAGGTATCAGCCCACCCAACCCAGGTCTTCCAATCTACCGCAAGGTACCCATTCCGATCCCTCAGCATTCCTGGAGTTGGATCTGAAAAATTCTGTGCCCCTGCCACTGACCTCCATGGAACCTCTTCTCGAGCCCCTGAGCTCGAGTGTAGAGCTCCAAACACTCCACAAGCGGCCCTTTCTCCTCCTCCCTCCTCTCCCCCTCTCCCCTCCTTCCCGCCTCTCCTCTCCTCTCCCCCTCCATCCCCTCCTTTCCCTCCCCGTTCGCCCCTACTCTCCCCTTATCCCGCTCCCGCCCTTCTTTCTCTGCAAGCTTCCTCAGGTCAACAGTGGTTGCCTGCATGTCCCTTAGAACCGCAGACGCCGTCTCTACGCTGGGAGCCCTCAGAATCGCGTCTGCTGTCGCTTGATCCACCACCGTTGCCTGAGAGTCTGCCTTATCCCTCTCCTCGCTCAGTTGCTGTATGGCTCGGTCGAGTACGGTGTTGAGGTGTGCTGCATCCCTCTCTAGCCGCCTGTCCAGGTCTTGAAGCCAGTCGGCCGTGTCCCGGTTGTGCTGCTGCAGCAGACGCAGCAGTGGGGATCTGGAAGTGGAAGAGGCGAGCAGAGGAGAAGAGCGAAAGGAGGGACTCGAGTGTATTTAAGAGACGTGAAAGAAGGAGTGTTTTGAGACGTCTCAAAACATTTAAGAGTATATCGTCTTTCGCAAACCAGTGGGTGGGTGGAAATTCATGGAGAAGTTATGGTACATTTCCACTCTTTCCGAATTCTGTCTTCCACCGCCACTCGCCTCCTCTTAGACAGCAAAATAGATAAGTGTATCTTCGCCTCCTCCTTATCCCCCTTCGTCCCATCTCCCCTTTCTCTCCTCCTTCCTTGCATAGCCCTTGCCCCCATTTCCCCAGTCCCTGATCTCTTCCCAAAACCTCCTTCCCGCCAGTCACTTCCCACTCCTGCTCCTCACCTCTCACCCAAATCAGGGTACAGCGACCAATCATCATCAGCCACGTCATCCCCTTTGCGTTCCCAGCCCGAATCTGCACGAGACGCAAAACTTTGGTCCCCAAGCTCGCTGTCAAGGAGGGTGGAAAGGTCGTCGCGTGCTGACGTGGATGAAGGTGATTGGACAACGGGGGGTGATTGAGAGGAGGAAAGGGAGGAGGAGGGGGAGGAGGACGGGGAGGAGGAGGTGGGGAATGACGAGGGTGAGAAGGCGGAGTGGATGGGAGAGAGGAGGAGGTGGAGGAAGGCAAAAAGGAGAGCAGCGAAAATCCCAACGGCTATTTTGCCATATGTGCTGCTGGGTTGTAGTAGCCTTGCTGGGATGGCATCAATCAGCCTGGTTAAGTCCGGTTGAGGTGAGATTCTGCTCGGTAATAGCCTTGTTAGGGTGAGAGATAATTGGCTGATTATAAGAGTGAACCAGCTGATCATATGGTTGAAGCACGGGTTGCTACCGCCGCTACCTCTGCCTCCTCCGCCGATGCTGCTGCTGCTGCTGTTGCGGCTACTGTCACCATTGTTGCTGCTGATACCGCTGCTATTCACGTTGCTGACGCCGTTGCTGCTGTTACGGCTGCTGCTGTAACTGTCGCCATTGCCGCTGCTACTGCTGCTGTTGCACTTGACGCTGCTACCGCTGACCTTCTCAGCTGCTGGTCGAGAGGCCCGCGATGGCTCCTTCGCTTTCCGCGGCATCTCGCTTCAAGAGATGCTTGTGGCTGAAAGAGAAGGAGCGAAACGCCAGAAAGAGATGCTTGTGGACTCTCCGGACTGTCATTCACTTCTCCAAATTCCCGAATTTCACTCGGCGTTCGAGTTTCTAGACGTCTCAAAACTCCAGTTTTCTTTCATTGTGCAGCATTGCTTCTCTTGCGCGCGATGGCCACATCGCGTTTCCGGGTACGGCGGAGGTGCGGGCGGCGCGTTGTGACTACTGGGGGCGGCTCATAAGGCGGACGGAGAGCGTGTTCAAGTGCTCTCACACACGGTTATCACTCGCTTGAAGCTACTTTATTTCAGCCGCGCGGGAATGGAGTATAAGGCGTGTGAAAGGCGCTCGCGTTCACACGCTATGCTCTACCTCGTAGTCGACGATTCTGACTTAGATAGAAACGGCATGAAAGCCGCATACGCGCAACGGTACATTGGCGAGAAAAGACCTCATCGCGGCGCAACGCTACATTGGTGAGGCAGAAATTCCTAAACGGCTGCGAATGTATGAGATGGCGAGCTGAGCTGTGCTTGGTGTGTTGGCTGGGAATGTGGAGCAAAGATATTATCTAGTTTGTGGCTGGGCATACACCCAAGGTTCAGTTTGGTGCCGTGGAGTGCGAAAAACCGAAGGTCTTGGCAATACAATGCTTGCTTTTCAGCATCACACATGGACAAACGTCTTTATCTGGTAATATACTCGTTATTGCGTCTGCTTTTATGGAGATTTCCGAGGTTGCGAAATCTCGGAAAGCACAACCCCTACCGCGCGTAGTGTTCCTCCAAAGCTGTGTTCGACCTTTACGAATTCTTCATTTAGATTTGCGAAAGCGTTACCGGGTCAGTCTCACAGGTTCGGCTCCTTCGGAGAAACTAGTACACGCCCTCGTGTAGCCGTTGCAGCCGAAAATCTCAAGGCTCGATTTTCCTTGGGGATCGCAACGCAAGTCGATTTCTGTTCCAATCGCTGTTCCTCCGCAATGCAGCTACACCATGGCCATAGGTTGGCCTTCACCTCTTTCACCTCTTTTCATGGCCGAATCCTTGCCACCATGTGAATCGCTCTGTTCCAGTTGCTGGAGTGATCAACAAGTGACCATGTTGTGATTGTTAGCGATCATCCTCTAACGGACCAGTCCAGCTCGCTGGAAAAGCGATAAGAACCGTTTTGTGAGAGCTGCTTTTCGATTCGCAAGAATCGGTCGTTTACGTGTTTGCACTTGGTGCCAGAAGGACCCCTGCTGCATCGCCTTTTGGAAAACCTAGATCCGTCGCTACTGCTTGTTTCCCAAAAATAAACCCAGCATTGACAGGTGACTTTTGAGTCAACTTAAAAGCGGTCGTTGACTCCAGAGATTTCTCGAAAGTGTTTCCGAAAAATATAACAAGCATTGGCAGCTATGCTGCCGAATCGGGCGATCATCGCGTCGCAGTTTTGGAACCACGAGTGCGGCTCGGCGCAGTCACTCGAAGCCGTGGTCCCCGCTGTCCCGAACGAGCCGCCTTCGACCGGCATTCACCTGGGTAGCGGAATCGCGCGATCACAGCAACTGCTGCTCCTGCAGAAGCTCCTACCAAGTACCCCTCCTTTCTCCCTAGCCTTTCTTCCACTGAGCCGTTTTTCTCTTAGCCATTCTCCCTCTTTGCCGTTACCACCCATTACCTTCCTTGCACTCAGCCGTTCTCCCTCTTAGCCTTCCTTAAAGTAATCATTCGCTCCGTTTGTCCCTTCCTCCCATTCCCGCATATCGAACCCGTGGACCCCTTGCACTTCTTTTCTCCCCCATTCCAATCCATCATCTACCTCCTATCCGCCACCGCTACCCTTCCTAGGGTCAGCCGGAAATCCGTCGTCTCATTCACAAGCGGTCATCCGTCTCCCTATCTCTCCTCTCGTCCTCTCATTCTCTTTCTCTTTCTCGTTCTCCCTATCCGGTCGGCCTCTCACTTTTCTTTCACTCGTGCCCGCCCCGTCCTTAACTCCTCTCTTCCCGGGCGACAGTCCCCTTCACGCCATCCTATGCTGCTGACGTGGACGATCAAGGTGGATGGGTGGTCGACCGAGTGCTATCTGGTGTGGGCGGCAGGGACTGGTATGTACAAACCCTAGCTCCAACCCCTTATCTTACCATATCGTGCCATGTCTTACCATATCTTATCATATCTTACCATATCTTAATCATATCTTACCATACCTTACCAGATCCAACCGTATTATACAACTTTTCAGCATATGTTGCCATCTCTTGCCATATGTTGCTGACATACGTTGTATCTCGCCGTGCTGCTATCAGGTGGGCAACAGTAATGGGCCGGCTGAGAGTCCAGCGCATGTGGAGAAAGCATTTCCAGCAGCAGACCAACACAACCCTAACCGCCAATGCTCCCCATACAGCAGCAGCAGCAGCAGCAGTGACTGATACCGCCACAGGCAACAACAGCAGCAGCGGAAACAGCAGAGCTAAGGACTGCCCCAGTTCCTCCTCAGGATGGTTCCAGGATCCTTCCATGTATGCGCTCTCGGCCCGTACGCGCATCGCGCTGGGGAAGCAGACTTGGCTAAGCGGCAGTGCTGAGCTAAGCACGCTTGCAGGCCTGGCATCCGCACTTCAGGACAAGATAATGGGACGACAAAGGAGGGAAGGTGGTGCTGTGACAGGGAGTGAGGAGGGGAGTGGGGAGCGAGGAGGAGAGGCTTCGGGGTTCAGAGGCTTTTTCTCGCTACGCCATAAGGTACATGGGGGGCTCTTGTGGTTTCATACAAAACAAAAATATAGGGGAGGGGAGGAGGTGGATGGGGACGGTGGAGGGGTGGTTTCAGGGTTCAGAGGCTTTGTCTCGCTACGCCATAAGGTACACGGGGGGCTCTTGTGGTTTCATACAAAAAAAAATATTTAGGGGAGGGGAGGAGGGGGATGGGGAGGGCGGAGGAGAGGCTTCGGGGCTCAGAGGCTTTTGTTTCGCTACACCATAATGTACATTGGGGGTACTTGTGGTGGCTAAGTGGACTTTTTTTAGTAGGCTAATAGATCGACTCGTTACACGCGGTTTCTACATTCAGAGGCTTTGTCGCGCTACGCCATAAGGTACATTGGGGGCTCTTGTGGTTTCCTACATAGGGGAGGGGAGGAGGTGGGTGGATGGGGAGGGTGGAGGAGAGGCTTTGGGCTTCAGAGGCTTTGTCTCACTACATCATATGACATAAGGTACGCAGGGCTCTTGTAGTGGCTAAGAGGATTTTTAACTCGACACAATATTGGCTACTGATAGTCCATTGAACTTTTTCTGTTAGATGGAAGCTCTTCTCATGGACCAGGATTTGATAGGCCGAGCAGGGTGGGGCGAGCAGGGTGGGGCGAGCAGGGTGGGGCGAGCAGTGTGGGGCGAGCAGGGTGGGGCGAGCAGGATGGGGCGAACAGGGTGGGGCGAACAGGGTGGGGCGAACAGGGTGGGGCGAACAGGGTGGGGCGAACAGGGTGGGGCGAGCAGTGTGGGGCGAGCAGGGTGGGGCGAGCAGTGTGGGGCGAGCAGGGTGGGGCGAGCAGGGTGGGGCGAGCAGTGTGGGGCGAGCAGGGTGGGGCGAACAGTGTGGGGCGAACAGTGTGGGGCGAACAGTGTGGGGTGAACAGTGTGGGGCGAACAGTGTGGGGCGAACAGTATGGGGCGAACAGTGTGGGGCGAACAGTGTGGGGCGAACAGTGTGGGGCGAACAGTGTGGGGCGAACAGTGTGGGGCGAACAGTGTGGGGCGAGCAGTGTGGGGCGAGCAGTGTGGGGCGAGCAGGGTGGGGCGAGCAGGGTGGGGCGAGCAGGGTGGGGCGAGCAGGGTGGGATCGTGCTGGCCCCTACGTGGACCCTTTTTAGAATACCTGTAGATCCTTCTTGTGCCTTCCTTCCCTCCTTTTCCCCGCCGCGTTCCCTCTTCCCGTGTTTCCGGCACGATTTGATTGCACCAGCAGGGTGGGGCGAGCAGTGTGTGTGTGGACCGCGCTGGCCGCTACTGGACGCTCGTCAGTCAGTCTGTAACACCACCATTATCCTCCTCCCCTGCCCTGTGTTCCCACATCCGTTCATTCTTTTCTAGATGAAGGGCCACGATTTGATAGCGCGAGCAGGGTGGGGAGAGCAGTTTGTGCACCGTGCTAGCCGCTACTGGACGCTCCTCACTCAGCTTAAACAGCTTTGTTTGCCCTCCCCCTCCCACGCAGATGAAGGGTCACGATTTGATCGCCCGAGCGGGTGGGGCGAGCAGTGTGTGGGCCGCGCTGGCTGCTGCTGGACTCCTCTAGAACAGATGTAGACGGTAGACCCATCTCCTGCTTTCCTTTCTTCTCCCTGTTGCGCTCCCATCTGCGCTTCTCCAGATGAAGGGTCACGATTTGATTGCACGAGCAGGGTGGGGCGAGCAGTGTGTGGACCGTGCTGGCCGCTACTGGACGCTGCCCCGTGCGCTCTCCCTTGACTTCGCCTCCCTGGTCACAAGAGAAGGGCTGCGCTACCGCTTCGGCCTGCAGCACGTGGGAGGGAAACCAGAGGTGAGACTAGAAAGCCTGCTGCTGCCCCGTGCGCTCTCCCTTGACTTCGCCTCCCTGGTCACAAGGGAAGGGCTGCGCTACCGATTCGGCCTGCAGCACGTGGGAGGGAAACCAGAGGTAAGGCTAGAAAGGCACAGGCAGGCATGTTGCGAGGGGAAGTCTTTGACACGCAGACCGTTGTGAGAAGAGGTGGCGGCACAAAGTAGCGTTTAGAGCACCTTCCTGACCCTCTCATCCCCCATCGCGCTCTCCCTCCCCCCCGTCTCTCCCTCTCCCCCGTCTCTCCCTCCCCCCCGTCTCACCCTCTCTCAGGAGAGTGCAAGGCCAGGCCACGGGGAGGCGAGGGTGGTGCCGTGGGGGGCGAGGGCGGGCACGCGGGCACAGGCAGGCATGTCACTGGAGGGGAAGGTGACTGTGTGGAAGGACCGATGCGAGAAGAGGCGGCGACAGAAGGAAGCTGCCAAAGCTGCTTCCTCCGTGCCCTCTGCCTCGTCTTCCTCCTCGTCATCATCATCAGCAGCAGAATTGAAAGCACCGCTCCCATCCTCGTCGTCCTCCTCCTCATCCTCCTCCTCTTTTTCCTCCTCCTCATCCTCCTCCCAATCTCTTCATCCGCATTCTCCCACCCCTTCATACAACTGGCTGGCTGCTCGTCCACGCATCACCCTATCTGCCGTGCTCGGTGAGTTCCAATGCTGCTGTACTATCCTCTCTACTCCTCTCAACTCCTCTCTATTCCTCTCTACTCGTCTCCACTCCTTTCTACTCCTCTCTACTCCTCTGCTCTCTTGTCTCCTCCTCCTACCCCTTCATACAACTGGCTGGTTGCTCGTCCGCGCATCACCCTATCTGCCGTGCTCGGTGAGTTCCAATGCTGCTATACCATCCTCTCTACTCCTCTCTACTCCTCTCTACTCCTCGCTACTCTCTACACCCTCGTCTCCCTCGTCTCCTCCTCCTACCCCTTCGTACTACAACTTGCTGGCAGCTCCTTCGCGCACCACCGTCTCAGTCAGCCGTGCTCGGTGAGTCCCACCTTCCCTGCTCTTGAGGCATGTTGCTGTCTCACGTGCTTGCACCGGGATCTCAATCATCAACAGCACAGTTCTTGTATTAGTCGACTCAAAAACATTCATACTCCCCTCCCCCACCCTCTCCCCTCCTCCCCTTTCAGGGGGTCTGGCTTCCACCGAGATCTCAACCAGCAGCAGCAGCAAAAGCAGCAAAAGCAGCAAAACCAGCAACACCAGCAACACCAGCAACACCAGCAACACCACCACAACGCAAAGCCAGGCATCCAGCTCAAGGGTGAACGGAGCAGGGACAATCGGGACGGAAGACACAACGGGGTCCTTCCGTCTCTCCTCTTTCCGTCCCTCCTCGCTTCAGCTCTCCTCGCTCTCCACCGATCTCTTTGCGTCGGTGGCGGTAACCGCACAGCTGGGCATGTTTGAGCGAGCTCTTTTCGACCACACTCTCCTCAACGCCACGCTCACCTGTGGCTCCCTCTCTGCTGCTGGCTACAACCTCTCCCAACCTGCGTCCGCCACGTCAGCGCTGGCGCCAGATGCCACGTCAGCGGTGACGTCAGGTGCCACGTCAGAAGGTTGGCGGAGAGAGGAGCGGGGTGCGCCGACGCTCTCACTGTCATTTCAACAACAGGTGTGTGTGACTGAACCGAGTGGGACATGTAATGTCAAGTACGGATGAATGATTGTTGCTCTTTTCTTGGCCCCCGCTCATTCCTTGCCCCCGCTCCTGTTCCTTGACTTCTCGTTTGCCCACCCCCTCCTCTCCCTCCCAACCTGTCTCGCCCCACTCGTTTCCCCTTTTCTGCAGATTTTTGGCCCAGTGAGGGGTCGCTGGGACGCATGCATGGGAGTGGATGCCAAGAATCCCCTCGCTGCTCCCACCCTGCTCGATTCGACCTATGCCTTCTATTCCTTCCCTCCCCCCCCCACCTCACGTGCAGATTTTCGGCCCAGTGAGGGGTCGCTGGGACGCATGCATGGGAGTGGATGCCAAGAATCCCCTCGCTGCTCCCACCCTGCTCGACTCAACCTACGCCCTCGATTGCTCCCTGGAAAGGCTCGGAGCTGCCAGGCTCGTCGTCTGGTATTCGCCAACAAGACGGGAAGGCATGGCGGAGGTTCGGTTGCTGGACCGGTAGTTGTTGCTATGACGTACGAACCTCAGTGGGTATGGTACGTCCTATACACTACACTCCACTATACTGCTGCTGAGGTTCTCCCGCGGTGCATGTAGCTAGTGAAGCTTGCTGCAGGTTTTCCCAATTGTTACTGCCCCTCACAAATCTCCATATGTATGGTAATTGTACTCAGATTGCTATTCCCATTTGTCTGACCTACAAGTTTGTGCCTGATTCTATAGGTGGCGGATACGGTAGGTAGGGAGGGAACTGAGTATAGGATTGCTTGCTCGAAGGACTAATCATTGGCTATCCATTGGTTTGAAACGTTTCAATGAAAGTGTGTTACGATCCTGAACCATTCATTATAGGATAAATAAGTCCAACAAGAGTAATGTCCTGAACCGCTTACAGTAGTTCCAAATTAGTCCACCTCACTCACTGCCCTAATTGCCCTAAACCCTTCCAGTGAAGCATCCCTATCATTGATCTTCTATCACACTACACTGTCACTGGCCCATCTGACAGACATCATGATGCATACAACCTTGAATTGTTCCTCCCTATTTCCAGGATATTAGCCTGGACGGCATTTCCACTAAAAGAGAATGTCCCTGCAACGTTTACTGTTGCACAGGAGACTCCAGAAATTTTGACTTGATGAATTGCGACCCTGTAAGGTCACGCTATGTAACAGGTTTCCATCTGCATCACAAGTCACGCGCCTTCATCCACTGCACATACCACCAGTCTCCATCCACTTCACATCTTCAGATCTTCCTCATCGTCGTTACAATTGCATGGCTCTCAAACCTGCATCACGCGCTTCCTAGATCCTCCTCTCCTCAGTGCCACACACCAGGCAGTCAGAGGGCGAGTCAGTGAGTCAGTCAATGGACATGAGCTGGCGGAAGGACTGGCTGTTCATCTCAACGTCTGTCAGCCCAGCATGCCCGTTCAGGATGTCTCTGCGACTCAACCCGTGCATCTGCGACTCCCGCATCATTGCCACAAACTCATTGTAGTCTATTGTGCCGTCCTGCAACGTAAACAGTGAGGGAGGGAAGGAGGAAGGTGGGAGCAAAAGAGAATGCCTCTGCGACTCAACCCGTGCATCTGCGACTCCCGCATCATTGCCACAAACTAGTTGTAGTCTATTGTGCCGTCCTGCATTGGACAGACAAGTGAGCGGGGTGGGTGCAATGGGGGTGGGGGGCAAGAGGAGAAAGGAGAGATAGAGAATGTGCTTATGACTGCGTCCGCGCCTTGAACACCATTGCTGCACACTCGTTGTGGTCTACTGTGACAATTTTGAGACGGCTTAAGAGCGAGTTTTGAGACAGCTCATGACTGCGTCTGCGCCTTGAACACCATTGCTGCACACTCGTTGTGGTCTACTGTGACAATTTGTAAGACGCCTGAAAGGTCTACTGCACCATCCTGCAACAGCAGAAAAGTGGGGGTGGAAAAGAAGAAAGATACAGAAATAGTTCTATGAGCACAAATCACAAGCACTGCACCCTGAGCACTGAAGCATATCCACGCAAATGAGGCCTTCAAAAAAAAACAAAACAAAACAAAAACAAAAAAAAAAACAAAAAACAAACAAACAAACGCACTGCATCCTGAGAACTGGAGCGTCTCCATCTTACCCTCATCTTCACCAACTCACATTGTTCTCGTCCACCTCTCGCATCATGGCCTCTATCTCCTTGCGGCTCATCTTGAGCTCCTCACACGCCTTTTGCAGTTCGTCCAGGGTGATGTTACCGCTTCCGTCACGGTCGAAGAACGCAAAGGCGCGCAGCAGGTGCTCCTGCTGGTCCAGCTTGCTCAGATGCATCGTGGCCGCCAGAAACTCCCCGTACTCGATCTCCCCACTCTGATCTATGTCCGTCTGCTCACAACCGGGGTGAAGGGGAGGGGGGGGGACGGGAAGCGGAGCAGGGGGGAGGAAGTGGGGGAGTGGGGGAAGAGAGAGAGGGTGCGGAACAACGAGGAGTGTGTGGGGAATCGTTTTGAGGGTGCACTGTGATATACTGCACGCGTCGCCTAAAGAGACAGCAGAGCACCCACCCATCTCTTCCATGAGCTTGTTGATCTCTAGATCGCTCAGATGTGCTCCGGAATTCCTCAGCCCTGTGCGCATCTCCTCCACTCCACTGTGATGGTCACTCTGAGGCACTGCAGCAATCATACACATGGTGGCTCCGATGTGCACTGCCTTGAGAGAAAGCAAAGCACCCACCCACCTCTTCCATGAGCTTGTTGATCTCTAGATCGCTCAGCTGCGCCCCGAATTTCCTCAGTCCAGCACGCAGCTCCTCCACTGTGATGGTGCCGCTGCGGTCGGTGTCCATCACTTGAAACATCTCTCTTAGCCCGCGGATCTCCTCCTCCCTCAAGGACTCTGCAATGACCTGCAGAAAACGGCAGTGAGGAGGGGGGGAAGACACAAGCACATGATGGTGCCGCTGCTGTCCGTATCCATCACCTGAAACATCTCTCTTAGCCCCGTGTATCTCTTCCTCCCTCAGGGACTCCGCAATGACCTGCAGAGGATGGCGAGGAGGAAGGGGGCAGAGGGGGGGGGAAGGAAAGACACAATTTATGATGGTGCCGCTGCGGTCCGTATCCATCACCTGAAACATCTCTCTTAGCCCGCGGATCTCTTCCTCCCTCAGGGACTCTGCAATGACCTGCAGGGTCCAGGACAAGGCAGCAGCAGGCAGCAGCAGTGAGGGATGAGAGTGCGTGCGGCGCAGCCCCGCCACTCCACTGTGATGGTGCCGCTGCGGTCCGTGTCCGTCCATCACCTGAAACATCACCCTCAGCCCGCGGATCTCCTCCTCCCTCAGGGACTCTGCAATGACCTGCAGGGACCAGGACAAAGCGGCAGCAGAGAGGGATGAGATGAGAGCACAGCCCCGCAACTCCTCTGTGACACTGCCGCTGCCTGCCACGCTGCGGTGCGTGTCCATCACTTCTAAAAGGTTTAAGGTTTCTACTGAGCACAGCCCCGCAACTCCACTGTGACAGTGCCGCTGCCACGCTGCGGTCTGTGTCCGTCACTTGACACACCTCCCTCAGCCCACGAATTCCCTCCTCCCGCAAGGATTCGGCAATGACCTGGAGAGGACGGTGAGGGGGACAAGAGCGGGTGGAGAATAAGAACACTCAGTAGGGCCGTGTCCATAGCAATCAGCCTCAACCAGCCCACTGATATCCCCAGCACTTTATTCATGCCCCTGCGGAACCATGTTAGCATACCTCCATCCCTAGCTTCAGCCTCAAAAAGCACCAGACGTTGACTTTCAGAGACGCTTACCACACCATGCGAGCATACCATCATGGACATCCTCTTCATAATGACCATGGATGTGAGCTGCTTCACGTCGTCACCTCACTCACCCTAGCCATTCCACTGTAAGCCACGTCACCACACATACCTTCGTGGCCATCCTCTTCATCCTGACCATGGATGTGAAAAGCGAACTGCTTCAGCTGCGTCAGCACACTGGCCGAGCTCCTGAGACCCCCCTCAGCTCAGCACATACCTTCATGGCCATCCTCTTCATCTTGACCATGGATGTGAACTGCTTCAGCCGTGTAAGCACCACAGGAGGTAGAGGCTCGACGTATGACATTCCCTCTGACAACCACGGGTGGCCTGAGGTGAGTGAAAGGGGTAAGAGGGAAACCGGGGGGAGGTGGGGGAGTGGAGGGAGGGGAAGGCAGCAGGCAGTCAGCACACAACCACTGGAGGCAGAGGCTCGACGTATGACATGCCCTCTGATAGCCACGGATGGCCTGTCAGGTGGGGGGCAGTCGTGAGAGCGAAACCGGGTGGAGGTGGGGGATGTGGCGGGGCGGAGAGAGGGGAAGGGCACGTGCAGTCAGTACAATACAGGAGGCAGAGGCTCAACGCATGACATGCCTATTTTTGAGTTGACTCAAAAATAGGCCCTCTGACAGCCACGGATGGTCTGGAATGGGAGGGAGGGTAATAAGGAAGAAAGGGGGAGGAGAGGAGTGGGGGAGGGAATGGCCCCATGCAGTCAGCACAGCGAGACAAAGTCTCAGTGCATGACAGACATGCCATCTGACAGCCACGGATGGCCTGTCAGGTGGGTGGGTGGGAGAATAAGCCACAAACGAGGGGGAGGTAAAGGAAGGGGAGGGAGGTGAAAGGCCCATGCAGTCAGCACAGAACCACCAGAGGCAAGGCTCCACGTATGACATGCCCTAAACTAGGCATGCACTCACAGAGCACTTGGTGAGCGGTGGGGCGCTTGGAGGGATCAGGGTGGAGCATGGACTTGACGAGCTCCTTGGCATGGTCTGAGATGGACGGCCACGGCGCGATGGCAAACGTCGGGTTGCCTCGCAGCACCGCCTTGAATATCTCCTTGGTGGAGTGGCTCCCTGAATGGTGGTGGTTGGAATGTGTTTTGCAGAAGAAAAAACGCAATGAGGACCAGGGAGGGATGGCGAAAGTGGGGCTGTCCCCCTTCCAGCACCGCCTTGGTGGAATGGCTCCCTGCATGGTCAAAGTGGACATGCCCGGAAAAAAAAAAAAAAAAAAAAAAAAAAAAAACAGAAACGAAATAAAACAAAAAAGACGGAATGAGGACCAGCCTATACAGACAGGGACAACATAAGGAACAGCACAGCAACACATTTGATAGTTACCTCACAACCCAATGTCACGGCTTATTGACAAAGAGCATTGAATTGAGACATCTCAAAACCTAATGTCAAGAAGTCTCGGAACTTCAGAAAGATTGCGAAAGGCAGTAGTGGGCGCGTACGGTGGTAGAAGGGCGGGAAGCCGCAGAGAAGGGCGTAGATGATGACGCCTGCACTCCAGACGTCCACCTCTGGGCCGTACTTGGGCGGCCGCTTGGCCATTAGAAACGCCCCTGGCCGCCACTTGATGACCTCCGAGTCGACTCAAAACTCAACTCCAGAAAGAAGAGTAAAAGGCAGTAGTAGTGGGCACGTACGGTGGTAGAAGGGCG